TGGCGGGGTGGGGGTAGGAGGGTAGGGAGGGAGTAACCAGGTCCAGGCCATCTCTACCGACCAGTCCATGGCACAAATGATGAATCATACATAGGGCTCTCACAATTCTTACCCTGTCTTTGGCCGCCATCTGCTGTAAGGAGCTGTAGTGGGCAACGGCGTATTCCAGGAGGGCCCCAAACACGAAGCTAAAGCAGATGCCCAGGAACACGTCGATGGCCTTGATGAAGCAGTTGGTGTTGGGAAGGGACGTGCGGGACCCGATCATCAGTGTGGTCATTGACAGTACGGTGGTCACTCCTGGGAAAACAGGCAGGCAATGTTCCCACGCCAGTGGCCAGGGGACCTTCCACCATTACCTGGGAGACTGTCTCCGTTCAGGACTTGGCAAGGTGGGCACAGGACCCAGAAATGGAACAGAGTGCATCTGGGAGACTCCGTGGCCTTCAGGAACGGGATTGAATTGTCTGTTTTGTTGAGATATGAGCGATGGGGTTTTTAAAATGTTTTACCTTCTGTCTTCTCATGAGAGGGGGTTGGTCAGTATGCACAATAATTGGCAACAGGCCGTCTAATCACAACATCCCCTTACCTGTCACTACAAAATGAAGTTTAAAAATGTACTACTCCTAGAGTAGTCTCTCCGTCTCGCTCTCTACTTCTTTCTCTCTACTTCGCTCAGAAAACCAACTCCTGGAACTGCCCTGCGACTATCAATGAAAACAGCCGCAGGAGAGGAGGAGGGGAAGGGCCTAGTAAGCCAGCTCTTAGACCTCGGGTTCGAGCTGCTCACCGATGCAGGTTCTTGCAGGCACGGAGTCGAGGGAGATCCAAAACGAAACCCAGGACAACACCACGAGGAACGTGGAAGGAACGTAGGTCTCCAAGATGAAGTACAGGACATTCCTCCGGAGCTCGAATTGCAAGACGAGTCGCGTATAATTTCCTGGGAGGGTAAGCAAGGGGCAGGAGGTCACATCTGCTCTCAGGGCAGTAGTTTCCCCGCGGGACGTTGAACTTTGCTGTATGGACAGGAAGCCCTCTGCTGTCCACTACACCTAATGGGTCAGGACCGGCCATCGTTTTCACCAAAGGAAATGCTGTTGTCACGTGGGATTTACGGGGGTGCTGATGCCCCTCGCTCCCTGCCCCCGCCCCCGCTCCTCTTCCTGTGCCTTTCTCTGTCATATTATCCCTTCAGCACGTGACTCTGGTGTCCTTGTCACCTACCTCGCCAGACTGTGGGCCCCTTGGGGGCCGTTTCAGTCCTGGGTGTGGCGCAGGTAAAAGTCCCAATTCCAAGCCCCACCCTGCAGAGGGGCTCCCCGGCCCCGGAAGGGTGAAGTGGAGCAGAGATCCTATTTCGGACCCGGTTCTTTTGCTTTTGTACACGTTGTCCCAGGAGTTACCTGTCTCCTGCTGCGACCTGGTGACGAGGGTGAAGTACCGCTGGATGGTGTACTGCGCCAGCCGCAGGTTCTCCAGGCCCCGCACCGAGTCGTTGCCGCGCAGCCAGCTGAACCTCACGTCGCTGCTGTCGTAGCCCCCTGCGAGGAGCAGAGCCCTGGTCAGTGCAAGAAGGTGGCGACCGAACGGGACCGGGCAACGCTACGCTACGGAGACCGCGGGAGCGCGTCTGGATGGCGCCAAGTCCAGGGATGAGCCCCGTAACACCACGGTTTCTCGCCGAGTAGACCTGCAGCGCCTACTCGGGGTGAGGGGACCTGTGAGCGGAGGCTCCGCCTTCCACTGAGAGCCGGTCCAGTGCTAAGCACAGAACTCACTATTTCAGTACTTATTGGACACGTGTGAACACACAGGGTCTATGCTGGGTAGAGCCTTCCAGGACAGGCTGACACCCCCCCACAGGATTCCTGGGGACTTGAACTCAGTCTGTTCCTATTTCCACGTGGGCAAAAAATGCAACACACAACAACCCCGCTGCGGGCCCCTTTACTGATGTCAATAAACACAGGCACTTGAGAAATCTCAAAGCAGTTTGACTGACTGAGTTGATAATAGTAGTAATGGCTGCCTTTTATGAAACATCTATGTTCTTACATACTTGCATGGTAGATATTTCTATTTTTTTTTTCATTTTTTCAGATTAACTTTTTAAAAAAAATTTCAATTACAGTTGACTTTCAGTGCTATATTAGTTTCTGGTGGATCTTAGGGCATAGTGGTTAGCTATTTATATACCTTATGAAGTGATCCCCCAATAAGTTTAGTACCTGCTTGGCACTATATGTAGTTATGACAATATTATTGTCTATTCCCTATGCTATATTTTTTACATTTTCTGAGATTGGGATGGATCTTATGGTTGAGAGATATAGATTATACTAGAGACCCGAAGCATGAAATTCGTGCAAGGGGTTTGGCCCTCTCAGCCCTGGCTGCCTCGGCCCTCGCAGCTCCAGCTTCGTCCCGAAGGTCGTCTGGACGGTCTTTCTGCTGTTCAGTCTAATTAGCATATTAGCTGTTTATTATATAGGATAGGATTACATGTTTTGCCATTTGACCTAGTATTCACTCCTAAGTATCTGCCAAGAGAAACCAAGTCATGTCCACAAAACAACTGTACACAAGTGTCCACGGCAGCATTACTCATCACAGCTAGGAGGTGGAGCAGGCCAGAGGGCCTCCCACTGCTTGTATGCGTTTGTATGGAATCACGAGGAATAAAGCAGTAAAAGGGATGCAGGACTGATTCACACACTGACACCTCAGAAACATTATGCTAAGCGAAAGGGCCAGATGTAAAAGAACGCATAGTGCGTTGATCCAATTTATGTGAAATATCCCTAACAGGCAAATTCAGAGACGGAACGTAGATGAGTGGTAGCCTGGGGGCTGGTGGTGGCAAGGAAAGTGACGGTAAGTGGGCACGAGAGGTCTCTGTAGGTGACGGAAATGTTCTCACAACAAAATGTTGCAGTGGTCGCACAGCTTGGCAAACTTACCAAACATCTTTGAATTGTACACTTAAAATGGGTGAATCTTATGGTATGTAAAACTACCCCAATTAAGCTGTTAACCAATAGCTCTTGAGTCAGATACTATTGTTTTTCCCACTTCACTCATGAGGAAACTGAGGTTCAGAGATGTCGTTCTACTTACCCAAAGGCACACAGCCAGTGATGGGAAAACCCAGTGATACTGGTCTTCTCCCCAGGCCTCTGTTTTCCCAGGCTACTGGGAATGGGATGCCAGTGCTGGAGCTAGCAGTTTGGGGACTCGTAGCTACAGCATCCACTGCTTAGAAGCATCTATCTCCCCTCCAAGGGCAAGGAAGAAGTCATGAGCTCTTAGAGCAGTGGTTCTCAACCTTCTGGCCCTTTAAGTACAGTTCCTCATGTTGTGACCCCCACCATAAAATTATTTCCGTTGCTACTTCATAACTGTAATGTTGCTACTGTTATGAATCATAATGTAAATATCTGATATGCAGGATGGTCTTAGGCCACCCCTGTAAGGGGGTCATTCAACTGCCAAAGGGGTCGCGACCCACAGGTTGAGAACCGATGTCTTAGAGGGTTTCCAGGTAGAAATTGTCTGTGGACTTTCCTATAGAAACACCTCCAAATTTACTGAAGGGAGCTGACCAAATTGGCCTAGGATCCCAAAGAAATAAAAAGAAAATGATCTAAAAAAGTGAGTCATACCAACTTGGACAGTTTGCTTTGTGGGATAGCATCAATTCTTTTTTAGGGATCGAGTTCCGGACAAAACCCTGGGTGAGGTTTCTGTGCCCAAATAACTGCTAATAAACACTCAATTCCCTCTGCTCATGGGGATGCAGAGAGCTGTGCAAGCAGAGAGCTGAAGTTTCCGGGGAACTCTCACTGCTGGGATTTGAGACGAGAACAGCCACACATGGAAGGCAATTACTTTTGCCATGGAGGGCGGAAAAGGAGTTCCTGTCTTGATAACCTCAAGTTCTAGTCTGCCCCCAAATAGCTGTATTGTTCCAAGAAGGCTATGCACACATTTAATCAATAAGGTAATTAATCTGCCGGTCTGAGTCTTTAATTAAATGCCTGCCTCTGAAAAATGACTGTTGCCTTATAATGGCCGTGTTCTTAGATGTTGGCCACTTGTGTCCTCGTGTAGGAGGAAGTGCCTGCTGGTCTCCAGTGTGACTAGGGTTTTTCCTCCTCAGAGAAGCCACACCTTGATGCCTTAATGACTCCTATCTGTGGCACTGTTTTCCCAGGACACCCATCACAGGGACCACTCCCCCAAGTGTGGTGGGCATTTCAGAGAAGTTCACTAGGAAACAATGGCGATTACTCATCAACACCATTTGAGGCACATCAACGCAGAGCAGTTGTTTGTTTTTCATCATGAGCAGGTCCCCAGCCTGCAGTTTAGTTAGATGCTCATGTACCGGCATCACTGCATTAAGCTTTATATATGTCAACAATTTCTTTTAGAAGTTGAAAGAAGTTGTATGATCAATGTCAGGATTGCTTTGTATATCTGTCATTTCTAATCTCTGCTGTGTCCTTTCTGGCTTCCATGCCTTCGCTGAGTCTGAGTCCCCTTCCTAGTCCTACCGACCTCCATTTCCTTGGCTGTCTTGTCCACTCTCGGGTGGAACTATTCTCTTTCAATGCACAATGGTCCTCCCCAAAATATGTAATTTTGGGAGGTTTGGCTTTGAGCAGTCTCCAAATCTCTCTAGATGTACAGTCAGAAGGGCCAAATCTGGTGTAATTAACATCAAGAAAAGAAAGGCCACTGTGTACAGCACACTCTTTGTGAACACACAGATCTGAGTCACTGAGGAAATCAGCTCTGGGGGCCCTGCGGGACATATACTCACAGCTTTCCAGTTGCAACTGGCATGTCTGTGTGTCCATGGGGTATTTAGACAGGTCCATGTTACACGCCACAGTCGTCGTGATTCTAGGAGAGGAAGAAGTTCAGAACAGTGTTATGAGGATGCATTCCTTCTAAGGGTGCTGCATGAAGACTTTCGCGTCGAGTCTATAGTGAGCATGTGACTTGGACCCCGCATTCGAAGCCTTCCTGCGGTTCTCTGTGCTAAGCAACGCCTGTGAGGCTCGGTTACCGCTGGGGTCCAGAAGGGAGGAAGAAGCTGGAATGTTGGCAATCCAGAGGCAAACGTGCAACAACATTGCACAACAGAACCACGCATTGGCTTGTTTGAGATGCTTTTGCATCCAGTTATTAAATTTCATCTTCATGATAAACCGGGAGAAGCTAGAACAGAGATCACTGTCTCACTACCGTCACCATTTGACAACAGACTCAGGGGCTCACTCAGGCGCACACAGCTCTTAGAGGCAGAGCTGGGGCTGGAGCCCACTTAGAAGGCTGTCCAGTTCTCGAGGTCCCTCCCTCCTGGAGGGACCAGCATGCAGAAGAAGTGGAGGCTTCCCAGGGCGCCAGGCTCTGTGGCTCTTAAGGACCAACAAACAGAGACGTGCAATGAAACATCGGCTAAGCCCTCCCAGTGGAGAGTCCATTGGCAGACCTTTACCTTCCTTTTCCTTCAGTGTCACACATTTTTATTAAGCACCTTTATTTATTAACACTGTGCTGGGTGCTTGGGAAAGTGGAAATGATGACTGCGTGGCGCCCACTCCATTAAGGGAGAGAGACTAGCAACAGCTGCAATTTACCGACCACGAGCCAGTCCCTGGGCTCACAGCTTTGTGTGCGGCATCTCTTTGCATGTCTACAGCGGCTTTATAAGCTGGAACCATTATCATTTCTCTCCTGCAGCTGAGAAAACTGAGGCTCAGAGAGTCAACTTGCCTTAAGCTTCCAGAGCAGAACCGATTTCCCCCAAATCTGTCTGACTCTAGAGTCAGGCTATGAACCATCACCCATTATTGGTAACCCTTGTACATGACAGATGTTACGTGCTATGATACAGACACATGGACACACTTGTACGTGCACACACATCTATGGGAACACAGGGAAGGGGGACATTGATAGGCATTAACGTTGATTATGTTGGTTGGAGGTGAGGATCTTCAAAGGAGAGGTCTCATTAGGCTTCTTTTTTAAAATTTTTCTTATTGATTTTTGAATATATATATTTTTATTGATTTCAGAGAGGAAGGGAGAGGGAGAGAGAGGTAGAAACATCAATGGTGAGAGAGAATCATTGACCGGCTGTTTCCTGCACACCCCACACTGGGTTCAAGCCTGCCATCTGGGCATGTGCCCTGACTGGGAATCGAATGGTAACCTCCTGGTTCATAAGTCTATACTCAACCACTGAGCCATGCCAGCTTGGACTTCTTATTGATTTTTAGAGAGAGAGAGGAAGTGGGGGAGAGAGAAAGAAACATCGATTTGCTGTTCTCCTTAATTATGCGCTCATGGTTGACCGGGGATTGAACCCGCAGCCTTGGCATATTGGGGATGATGCTCTAACCAACTGAGCCACCTGGCCAGGGCTCATTAGGCCTCTTGAAAGAGGAGTTGGGGTTTTGGCTAATCTTGGCAGAAGTCAGTGCAGCCGAGGAGGATGAGATGAATAATCCAAAAATTCATTTTCTTGGTTAGCTCAGTCTTTGTTTTACAGCTCCAGCCTCTTTTGGGGGGTGTTTGGTTCCTGGCCTTCTCCCCGAGGCCTCTGGGAGTATTCGGTTTGCATGAGCAGTGATGAGCCACCCTCCACCGCCCCCCGCCCCGCACCCACATTGATGACCTCATGCAGCACTCTGGAGCACCTTTGTGGTTTAGCCGACTAGTGGCTTCATGAGCAATCGGCTGGGAGACTCTTTTGGCCTCATGGGATTGGGGAGGGGACAAAGAGAAGCCCATGGCCGCAGTGGCAGAGGCCTTGGGGCCCCACACCTGGATCCTCTGTGCAAAGACGACTGGGACACGTGGAGATGCATCCTGGAGCTACCCCATCCCCAGAGTCCCATGAAAGGAAAGGCCTTGGTATGGCCGCCAGTTTGCTCTTGCCGTCCCCCTCCCTCCTTCCCTTGCTAACTTCCTTTTGCTCTTTAGGACTCGGCTCAGCGTACTGCGAACGCATCCTCTTACATCACCCCAAACCACGCACCCACTCCCCAGCCTGGGCCCCCATACTCTGGGCTCCCTGTGCTCCTGTGTCTGTGCCAGGACAATGTCTCCTCCCTCTGTCTCTTCAGAGTCCAGCCTGGGGCCTGGCACACAGCCGCTGGTCAGCAGATGCGGTGGAGCCACCCTGAATGGAGGGCGGCTCTTCTGGCTTTGGGGCGAGGATGGACGAGGGCAGGAGCGTGGGAAGGGGCCTCAGCATGGCTGTTGGAGTGCCGGTCCCGGCGACTCAAGATGAACCTATGCCCTTTCTGGCATCGGCTTCCCCTCCCCGCCCCAGGTCGCGGTGCCCACTCACCTGAGGGCATACAGGACTGTGCCGTTGGAGAAGAGGCGGATGAGCCTGTTTCCCACGGTGACCTCATGGAGGAAGGATTTCTTGGACTCCACAATGTACGTGTCCGGCACCCAGAGGAACTCCACGAGGCGCGCGTCCAGGGTGACACTCTTGTTGCCTTCGAACACCAGCCGCTGGTCCGTCCAGCGCTGTCTGAGGTAGATGGTGGCTGTGTAGTCCTGGGGGGAGGGCGGTTAGAAATGTGTGATGAGAGAAAGATTCCGAAATCGGAAGGGGTCAAGTCTTACTCCCCTCCCCACCTCCCTGTGGGTCAAGCACATAGGTCTACTGTGGTAGACACTGGTGAGTACAGTTTGCTTGGGGCCGTGGCCTGTGGCCGTAAGAGAATGAAGCACCTTATTCTAGGTGGTAACTCTAGAATGGGAACCCCGATTCTTACCCCGCACTAAATGCACCCACTCCACTCCCTCGATTCTCCCCTCCTGGACTTTGAGTCCACTTTCCTCCGATACTCGTTAGATCTGTTTCATAAGAATCTTCCAGAGTCTGAGTTTCGGGGTCGGTCCCCACCTATGTCAGTCTGTTCTGTTTTCACGTCCCCCCTTAAACACAAGGAGGGGGACCCCTTGGTAGCAGACAGAGGGGCCTCACTTACCATGTTACTCTCTGAAATACTGTAAATACTAGCGATGTCCAGAGTCAGAGCTATCTGAACGGGTTCTCCTGAGATTGAAGAGAAAACCGGAAAGACTTACACAGAAACACTAACAGAAGGCTTCCTAACATTACAGTAGCATATGTATAAATATTTTGCTAGTCCTCCCCCGAGGATATTTTTCCATTGATCTTTAGAGAGAGTGGAAGTGAGAGGGAGAGACAGAGAGAGAAACATTGATGTGAGAGAGACACATTGGTTGCCTGCCACACTCACCCTGACCATTAACTGAGGTCTGTGCCCTTGACTGGGAATTGAACCTGGGACCCTTGCAGTCCACAGGCCGACACTCTCTCCACTGAGCCACACTGGCCAAGACTATATTTTAAATTAGAAAGTTATAAAAGTAACACTTGACTGTTGGAAAATCTAAAATGCTTTAGAACAGTGATTGTCAACTGGTGTGCCACAAGAAGTTTTAAAACATGCAATACCTGACTATTCAGTTAGGGGCACGGACCTCTCTTTCCTTAGATTGTCAAAAAAAAAAAAAAAAAATACAACAGCAACATAACAATAGGCATCTAGTGTGAACGAATCAAAATTATACCTAATTTTTTTGTTATTTTGGCAAAAAAAATATATTTTTGGTGTGCTGCAGAATTTTATAATTAGTTTATAGGTGCCATGAGATGAAAAAGGTTGAAAATTGCTGCTCTAGAAGTAGATAAAATACCAATTAATTTCTATCCTCCCCTCTCAGGAGAAAACTTTGTGTGGACTGTGCCTCCCTCTGTGTGAGAGAAATGCACAAATATATAGTTCGCTTAATATAAGGGAGACCACACTGTACTCATTAGTGCGTATTTTAAAGGCTGGAGTGGCGCTTGCTATTTTGTATTTGGAGGACTTTTCCTACGGTGCTTGCAAGGGACTAATTGCTTAGAAAGGTAAGTGAGATCCGGGGATTGGTGCATGGATAGCTTTCCCCCCCTTCAACTAAGCAACTCTACCACAAGATGGCATTCAAGACTGCTCATGCGTGAGCTCTCACGCACCTACGGTACTTCTCCCCCTCGCCCCCTGCCTTTGCTCCTCAGGAACCCTAAACTAGTCAGAATCCCAGAACCTTCCCCACTTGGGCCAAACCCCTGAGAGGGCCAGGCCCAGCTCCTGAGCCCGAGGCCAGGCCTGGAGTGTGTGAGGAAGGCCCAGGAGTCAGAAAGCGGTGAGTGTGACCTCAGCTTGGTGACCTGGGAAAAGTTACCAAATCCATCAGAACTGCACTTTTCTCACCTGTAAGTGGGGGTTACACCAGGAACACCACAGGGTCATGAAAGGGCTGAGATGAGGCATGTGATGGCTTCTTTGCAAGGTGGGGACAAGAGGAATTGCACCTCAAATGCATGCCCAGCTGGGCGTGCAGAAGGGACTCAAAAATAGTTACCTGCTCAGGCTCCCAGCATGGTGTCTGTCACGTAATACTAGGCGCCCAGTCAATGGCATTCCCCCCCTTCCCACCCCCCCCGTAATCCCAGCTAATTCTGGAAAAGGAACAAGTGTACTGACCAGGTTAATAGCTGCACTAATATTTCCTTGCAATAAATAACAGGGGTGACTCCGGGGACTGTGACAATGCAGGACCAGGAGGAGGAGAGGCGCAATTCCAGGGATGCTTTAAACACATCTGATCAGTGGGGATGCGACCAAAGTTTTCATCGGAGGAACGAAGCCACAAAATTCAGGTAGGAATTTGGAAATGGAGTTTTAGAGCCGACACAATTAAAAATAATGAAGTTAATAATACTTGTCGTTAATACTTGCTAGAAAAGGGGAGATCCCACGGGACAGACCCTGGAAGGGGCTGAAGGAGTGTGATGCTAGGTGGCTTTCTACCTCTCAAGGCAGCATGGTGCAGCGCCAGGAAGAGACACTTGGAGTCAGAGTGTTAGGATCCCATGCCGGCCACCTCGTAGCTGTGTGACCTTGAGCAAATTGCTAAACCTCTCTGTGCTACAGTTTCTCACCTATAAAATAGAGCTACTGGTGCCCACCAGCAAGGGTTGGGCTGGGAAGGTTACGGATCCGTTTTAAGTGCCTGGAACCCAGTGGCCAGTTGTGTCAGTGTCAGTTGCCTTCCCCAAGGCATGAGGAAAATGGGGAAACACGCAAGAGCTCCGGCCCCACTGCGGTGTTTATTTAGTCTGTTTCTAGACGGTCTAGTCCAGGCCTGGCCTCAGCTGGTGCTTCTGCGGGCCAGCGCTTGCTTGCTTTCCCTTGTCTTACCACGCAAGCTGTGCCACCAGAGGGCAGCTCTCTCCTAGGAAAGAGGTCAGAGCCAGGAGTGTGGCAGTGCTCGCGAGGGCCTGCTTGCACACGGGTGCTCTGTCCAGCTCAGTCCCGGAAAAATCCTCTGCAGGTCCTGTGTCTTAAAGACCTTGGGATTTTAGAACCTGGATGGACAGACATTACAGAGAACAATGACCCCATCAAGGGCCCCAGGCTGCCACGGAAATGTAGGATCCTTAAGGAGCCAAAGTGCCACAGGCACAGAAAAGGGGCTGGGGGTGTGCTTTTCGGCTGAGCATTTCCCCCGGAGGGCCTGGGCTCATGTGCCCTTGATCGAGGTGCAGAATGGGCACCTTCCCCAAGGACCCGACATCTTGCTGGCCGGTGAGCGGGCAGCAGGAAGAGCAGGGCCCTGGCCGAACACCTTCGGGAGGCAGAGAAATGGAGGGGTGGACCTAACCGGGTGTCAGAGTCACCTGCTTGTTGTTAGGGTTCGGCTGGGCCTGGAAAACCCAGGGGAGGTGGGGCCCCCCTGGGTCCCTTCACATAAGGACCTCAGGTCCTGACTGTGTGGCCAGGAACAGGGGTCTCAGGTCTCTTACTCACGGGGTGTAACTGACCAAGGGCCAGCTGCTGTGCTCTGAAGTCTGTGATGGCATTTGCCCCGAGGCCACCCTTCCCATGGGCCTGCCCACCAGGGACTGAGCGCCGTAGGGGGACTACGCCGGCCTCTCCTGGGAGGCACAGGGCTGGGAGACGCCTCTGATGGGAACTTCGGCTCATGGACTCGCTGGTGGCTTCTCCAAGCACATTGGGAAGTCCGCTGCTAAGACACCTCCTCCTCCCTTCCTCTCCCTCCCTCCGTCCCCTGGGGTCAGACCTGTATTGCAATCTGATGACTCTCCAGCTTCCCCCTTTCCCACCCTATATTCCTTCACAGATATTGCCAAATAGTGTCTCATACAGCTCGCCCCCTCACAGTCTCTGCTTCACAGGGGACTGGACTAACCCACTCATCCTAGACCCGCCCAGAGAATGTCATGGCCTGACGGGAGGAGCAGGAAGGAACGGGGATTAAAACAGACTGCGCCCCGATGCCCCGATGATTGGCAGGTACCGTGCGCTTCATGTGTATACCCTTCACCTCATTCAATCCTCCCGGCAGGTGCCTGACATGTCCCCAGGTTGCAGAAAGGAAAACTGAGGCTCAGGAAGAGAAGGTGCTTGCCACACAGTAGAGCCAGGAGCAAAGCCAGGTTTGTTCAGGTCCAAGGCTCTCTCTACTACCTTCTGCTCTGTGCGGCAAGGCAAGCGACCACCTTGATCCGGTCTCGCATTTTTATAAATAGACCGAGACCTGTGCAGAGCTGTGCAGTTGGTCTCATTACCCCCCTGCTGCCTCCTTCTTCCAACAAATATTAACAACGTCCTCTATGTCAAGCCCTGAGCTGCTGCTGGGGTTAGTGAGGTAAATAAAGCAAGACTCGCCCAGGAGCTGCAGCCCAGAGCTGAGACAGGCATAAACCCAGCGACAGGGACAGCATCACCAGGTAATGGCTATGGTTTGGAGTTATGTTCAAAGTAAAGTGTGAAGAAAGGGGATGGCACCTGGTGGAATCAGGGAAGGCTTCTCAGAGGAGGAGGCCTTTGATCTGAGACCTGAAAGAAAATTGGCATTTTACCAGGGAGCCGGGTTGGAAGAGCCTTTCTTGGCCGATAAATGGCTTCAGCAAAGGCATGGAGTCCAGGGAGGCCTCGGAGGTCAGGGAGCATTTGGGGCACACTGGTGTGGAGGGCATAGCCAGGGGGTGGAATTGGAGGTGCTAAGACGGGCAGACAGATCGAGGCTGGGCTGGGAAGGGCCTGGTGTGCCACGCAAAGGGTTTTGGGCTTCATGCTGACAAGTGGAGGGCAGCCCTGAGCGGCAGGTGGGAGGCGGGAGGACTAGGTGGACTAGTTCTGGTGAGCCGTGGCAGATTCCTTGAATAATGATGCCGGAAGTGGGGGCAGAAGGCAGACAGTGAGAGGTTGTCAGGCGGCTCTATAACCTCCCTAGCGAGGAGGAGGATTTCTTTAGGCTGCAGGTGGGGAGACAAAGTGCGGTCTCCAAGGTCGCGTGAAAACTCGTTGTGGCTGCGCTCATCCATCACTGCCAATCCCCCCGGGGCCGCAGGTCGGCAAACAGTCAACCAACCCTCCTAACCCTCCTCGGCTCCTGTCCTTTGAATTGATGTCCTGGACAAAAAGGATGACTTACCGCCAAAATTGGGCCTGAGAAACTTGTTATATCCGACAGTGAGGTTCTCAAAGCCGGGCAGGGAGAGCTTGTCGCTTCTGCTGACCTCCCTGGGGAGCCGGCTCCCCTGGACAGGCATCCTGGGAAAGAAAGCAGGTTTCGTGCACACGCCTGTTTACATGTGAATCATGTGTATGCCAACCTGAGCTGTGTCTGCATGTACATGCCTGGGCCCATGTGCCAGCTGAGACTTTCCCAGAGAGAAAGCTCTACCTTTCAGCTGCCCACTGGACGTGGCCCTACCCACTCCATTTTATTGCCCACTTGCCCTGCTGTGGTGATTTGGGGACCCTCCGAGTGTCTTCCCAGTAATCACCAGGGCGCTGTCCATTCCGGACACTTGGGAAGCCCGCGTTCTCCAGGGAGATCCAATGGCAGGCAGTCCTGGGGGCCCGGGGAGCGGCCGCCCCTCCCGCCCGAGCACCTACACAGAGCAGTTGAGGCCAAGGCCACTTGGGGAAGCAGAGCTCACCTTCCGGCCAAGAGGCTCAGGCACAGCCAGGCCAGGTGGAGACGCTGTCTCATGTTGAGGAGCGCGTGTGCAGAGAGGGGCCCAAGTAGGAATCACCTGGGGAGAGAGGGGGGCAGGTGGGAGGCAGACAGTGCAAAAGGCTCACCCCTTCTCAGCCGTTTCTCCCTCCCCTCAGCCCAGCCTCCCACCCCCTCT